CTGGATCCTGGGCCAGGAGAAAGCCGTTCCCTTATTTACTAAAATGAGATTATTGGGCAGAGTGTGCGATCTGAATGCAGTGTGTAGATTAGATAATAGGACACAGGCATCTGTAACTGCCAATCATCTGACTTGCTGTTTGCTCTGTGTCTGTGTAAGAGGCTGGTCCTGTGCTGAGGAAACACACGGAATATTTGGGTAGAAGGGCATGGGCCTGCAACTTGCTCAGAAAATAAAGTACATGTATGGAAAGAAAGAGAGAACGATAAAACAAGCAATAAAATGTTAACAATGGAGCCCTAGCCAGGTTGGCTCAGTGGATAAAGCCTCGGCCTGGGGACTGAAGGGTCCCGGGTTCGATTCCAGTCAAGGGCATATGCCCAGGTTGCAGGCTCGAACCCCAGTAAGGGGCGTACAGAAGGCAGCCAGTCAATGATTCTCTCTCATCATGGATGTGTCTATCTTTCTCTCCCTCTCCCTTCCTCTCTGAAATCAATAAAAAATATATATTACAAAAACAATTAAAAAAAACCCAATCGGGTAATGTGGGTGAAGGAATTCGTGTATTATTTCTGTGCAAACTGAAATGCTTTCAAGATAAAAAGTTACAAAATAGAAAGAAAGAAAAGTCAATATCCTGGGGGTTGGGGAAGCAAGAGCGAGGCTGGAGAGCAGTTCGGATTCAAGGAGACTAAACAGACTCGGGCGGGAATTGCAGTGTGTCCCGGCCCCGTGACATTAGTGGGGGCACTGGGGAAGCACGTGCGGAGAGGGAGCGGTGCTGGGTGCCAGCGCTGCATCTTGTAATTTTCTGGGTGTGGCGGTCACACAAGGATTTTCAGGACGATGTCCTTGCTCCTCTGCGGTGTACCCTGGGTTTTGGGCTAAGGGTCAAGATGTCTGTAACCCTTGCTGTGGTTCAGCAAAAATACATTTATAGGAAAGAGAGAAAGCCATGCACTCTAAAGTGGGGAGGGGATTACAAGGGGGTCCATGCTATTTTTCTCAAGGACACACACCTCCCACCCCTGCAGCCACAGGCAGTGAAGGGCTCTGGGGTGGGTGAGGCCACCCCAGCTTCTGCATCCCCTCCCCACTTCTTAGCTTTTCTCTCTCTGGCCACAAGATGTCTCCATGGGCCCTACTAGACGGTGGTTTTCATTTGTTAGTTTCTTAACGTTTCTAAGATGTGAATTAAACCATCGCCCCGTCTCTCTGACCTGCTGCTCTCTCTCCCCTGGTGTGTGTGCTCTGATGTGCTTCCCCTGGTGTTTTCTGGGGGCTCGCCCAGCCCACTTTGCTGTCCCCGCATGGGATCCCCATGAGATGGTCTCTGCTGCCCTCTGGTGGCCACTGCCTGGAACTCAGACCCCACCCTCCTGAGGGGCAGAAACCTGAAAGGCTTGCCACTTCCTGTCCTAAACATGTTGGAGTCGCCAGAGAAACAGCCCATCCGCCACAGGAGGATGTTTCCCTGAAGGAACTGGCTCAAGTGATCGTGGGGGCCCGCAGGTGTGAAGCCGGCTGGAGCCAGGCAACAGCCAGCGGGCAGTCTGGAGGCGGAAGTTCTCCCTCCCGGGGAACCTGGGTTTTGCTCCTGTGGTTGTCCAGTGATGGGACGAGGGTCCCCCATTACAGGGTCATCGCCTCTACTTAAAGTCAGCCGGCTGTAGGTGTGTGACCACGTCCACCAGATACCGTCACAGAAAAGTATGCTTTCCTGCTGGTTTCCGATTCCTCCTTTGCTAAGAAAAGGAGTCCACTGTGGCTTCTGAGTGTGTGAGGATGGAATGAACAAACAGCCAGCAGGGCTCTGAGCACAGCTGTCACAGGGCTGGCCTGAAGACGTTAGTTATTATTGTTATTACTAGAGGCCCGGTGCACAAACTTGTGCACTAGGGGTCCATCGGCCTGGCCTGCGCCCTCTCGCAATCTGGGGACCCTCGGGGGATGTCAGACTGCTGGTTTCAGCCTGATCCCCGCAGGCCAGGCCGAGGGACCCCACCTCATGCATATGCATCCTTATGTGCATACAGGCCTCTAGTATGCATATAAGATCTTTGGTTAATCTCTCCCCTTTCCCTCTGAGATTCATCAGTCTGTTCCATGTTTCCATGCCTGTGTGTTGAGTGTCTGCCCCCTGTTGGTCAGTGCGCATCATAGCTACTGGTTGAACAGTAAAACGGTCGCTTGGGCTTTTATATAGATAGATGGTGAGAATTACCTGCATGAGTCAATAATTAAGTTAGAGGAAGAGAGACAGGGAGGTCGAAGGAAGGAGGGAGGCAGGGAGAGAGGGTTACTAATTTCTTATACCTTTCTTTGAGGTAAAATGTAGATACATGGAAACGTACAAATATTACAATTAGTAAAATGTATTTAATTAGTACAATTTTATATGTGCTGTTATATTTTCTCCTTTTTGTGTTTTCTCTCTTTTCTAATAAGGAACAGATAGTTTTTATAATAAGGGGGAAAACAATAGAATGATGATACAATTAAGCTGCTCCTTTGGGCGGATGCCCTGTCCCCTCCATTGTGCCACAGGCCTGGAGACTCCCGGACCTCCTCTGTGCTTTCCCACACGCCGTCCTGAGTAACCAGGACTCCTAGGACCCGCCTGCCTTTCCCAGGCCCCCGGGGAAGGCCTGTGGCCTCCTGGAAGGAAGGGGGCCTCAGCACACAGGACCCACAAACACAGCTGGGCCCAGGGCTGAGTGCACGTCCTGGGGACTCAGGACACTGCCCTGTTCCACAAGAACCTCCACCTGCAAGGGGAGAGGGGGGCCTCTCTGGGACTCCCCTAACCAATGCAAGGCTGGGCAGGCCCTCCGAACCCACTGGGAGAGGCTGGCCGGGGGAGGGGTTGTCAGGCAACCAGCCGAGTCTCCTCCCAGGGCAGCTGTGAGTGGCCCCGTTGCCCAGCAACCAGGTGGCAGCGTCCCCTGAGCCAGGACCGTGCAGCTGCGCCCAGCCCTGCCCTGCTTCTCACGGGCCTGCAGGACCCCTGGGGCCCTGTGCTTATTCCCCAAGACTGGGACAGCTGGGGCCTCTGGTCACAATGAACATTCTTCTCTTCAGGTAGGTGGCTCTGTGCTGGTGCTGGCCCTGGCCGGGAGGTGGGAGGGGGTGGGGGAGGCTGGGTTTTCAGGACCCCATGCACGGGGACAGATGGTGCAGCTGGGATTGCTCGATGGGGATGGACCAGGGAGGTGGGGAGTGATGAGAGTGAGCTTCCTTCTGCACCCCACTCATCTCAAGGTAAAAAGAAAGCGTCCAGAATAGTGCCTCTTTCTGCTTCTCCAGCATTAGTGCCCACAGCTCTGAGGAAGCCAATTCGCTAATCTCCAGGCTTCCTCCAACTTCCCTCGCTCACCTCCACCTGGAAAACCCCTCCTCACGCCTTAAAGCCCGCCAGGCCTCCCCTTTCCGTGGGAATGCCCCTACCCCACTCTCAGCCTGACTTTATCACTGCTCCCTCGCAGCTCGCCGGCCCCTTAGCCCATTGTTTCCAGGCCTGCTTCCTCGGAGGGTCCCAAACCCGAGGGTGTCTCTGAATCACCCGATGTACTTTTTAAAAAATGCAGCTCCCTGAGCCTTCCTCACAGGGATTCTGGTGCACAGATCAGGGCTGGGGGCCTGGGAGCTGCATGCTGAGCGTGTGCCTCAGGTGATTCTGATGGGGCGAGGACGCCACCTGCAGACGCTGATACTGCGGGCAGCTGGGTGACGTGGAGCAAGACGCGCCACCTCTCTGGGCCTCAGTTTACTCGTTTATTAAAGACAGTGATAGTGGTAGTGCCTGGCCTATGAATAATGCACACAAAGTGTTTTGCAAACTGTGAAGTGGTGCACGAATTAGGGTTTGTCAGACGGATGACAAGGGGCCCTCACCGTTTCCAGCTTCAGGGGTGTGATTGGAGGGTTGCACAGGGGACTTCGGTCCACTGCAGAGAGGCAGCGGGGTCCTGGGGACAGGGGCTCAGAGTTGGGGAGCGGCCTGGGTGGGAGGTGAGTGCCCGGGGTGTTTAGGGGAGACTACATTCAGCGGGGCTGGGGGCTAAGGGGGGAGGATGAGCGGACGGAGCGGCTTTTCAGGGCGGGGGAACTGCGCTGTGACACTGTGACGGTGGACATGGGCAGCAGACATTTGTCGAAACCCATAGGACGTACAAAGAGCACGTGAACCATGAGCCCTAATGTAAACTACGGCTTTTAGTTAATAACGTATCACTATTGGCTCATCTTTTGTAACAAACGTCCCCCAGTAATGCACGATGTACTAATGCAGCGGTTCTCAACCTGTGGGTCGCGACCCCTTTGGGGGTCGAAGGACCCTTTCACAGGGGTCGCCTAAGACCGTCGGAAAACACATATATAATTACATATTGTTTTTGTGATTAATCACTATGCTTTAATTATGTTCAATTTGTAACCATGAAATGGGGGGTCACCACAACATGAGGAACTGTATTGAAGGGTCATGGCATTAGGAAGGTTGGGAACCACTGTACTAATGGAAAGTGTGTGTGCACAAGGAGAGGGTACCGGGACCTCACTGTACTTTCCACTGGGAACCTGAAACTGGTCTCCCTGAAAGTCCATCCACTTAAACATAAAGCTTCAGTATGTTTAACATAACGGTTTAGAGAAGGAGAATTTCAACAACTTGGGGGTAAGACAGAAAAGAGGGAATTTCAGGAGGAGCCCGAGGCGGCCAGGGAATAAAGAACAACTCTGCCAGGGGGACAAAAGCCCCCTAAAGGGTTGCAGGGCAGGCGCTTGGAGCCGAATCCGAGTTGGCGCTCCTGCCCGGCCACTGGCCGGCTCTGGGACCCAGCGGGAGTCCCCCATCTACCTCGATGGGCTGACACCTGACCTTGAGCACTGCCCCAGGGACAGACGCCTGCCAGGGCGCTTGCCACTAGGAAGAAGGTGATGGTGGGGGAGCCTGTGTCCTGCCCAGACGCCCCCTCAGGCCCCCACCTCCTCAGGGACAGCCAGGTGAGGGCGATGGAGAGCACAGTGACCAACGCGGAGAAGTACTTCGGCCGGTTCTGCTCGCTGCTGGCCGCCTACACCCGGAAGACGGCCCGGCTGCGGGACAAGGCCGACCAGCTGGTCAAGCAGCTCATCGACTTCGCCAACACGGAGAACCCCGAGATGAGGGCCACCATGAGGAACTTCGCCGAGGAGTTGGCCAAAGTGCAGGACTACCGGCAGGCCCAGGTGAGGCAGGCCCAGGGGGGGCAGGCTCGGGTTGGGGGGAGGGGGGAGAGGGCAAGTTCAGGGGGAACAGGCCCAGGGCGGGTAGGCCCAGGTGAGTGGGCTGCAGAGGCCCTGAGCAATGCTGGGCACAGGGTAAGCACTGAACGTTAGCTTTCATTGTGATTGTCACCATTGCTAATATTGTTTATTAAAGTGTCTAGTGTTAGGCTGGACTCAGGTGTGTGAGGCATCCCCTCGCCCACCCTGCTGTGTTCTAGGGTCAGCTCTGCATCCCAAATGAGACCCTAAGGCAGGTCCCATTCCTGTATCCATCCCTGGTGGGTACCGTCATTATACCCATTTTACAGGCACGGAAATGAGGCTCAGCAAGATGAAATGTATTGCCCAAGCCCTAGAGAAGCAGAGCCCTGAACCCAGGCTGTTGGTCGCAGCCCTAGGGTGAGAGAGGGCGCCCGTGCTCCCCTGCCCCCTGCAGGCCCACCGGCAGCTCTGTGTGTGTGACAACACTATGCATGCGGGCTGGAGGCGCATTGTCTCCTGGCATCTCCCTGGCTCCGTCCACTCTGATTCTCTGCGTGTCTGTGCTCCCCAGGTTGAGAGGCTGGAGACGAAGGTGGTCACCCCCCTGAAATTCTATGGGCCTCAGATAAAGCAGACGCGGGTGAGTGAGGGCGGCGCCCTGCAGGGTGTGCAGTGTCCGGGGCTGGCTAAGCCAGAGCCCCAGGAAACAGCCCTCTTTCTTCATTTAGGCCGAGATCAAGAAATGCAAACATATGCGGAATAATGAGATCAAACAACTGGAAAAGTTGGAGAAACTGAGGCAGAAGTCACCTTCGGATAGGCAAATGATCGTATCCTCCCCTGGCGTCCGGCCTGGGGCCTCGGGACCTCGGGGCCAGGATTACCGTTTGTCATGGGCGCCCTCTGGTGGGGGCTTCTGGTTAGCCTGTCTCCTTAACATCTCTCCCAGTCCCAGGTGAGAGTCACAGGTCTGTCTGGGGAAGGTAGATCGCATGCAGGTAATGAAAGACCTCACACAACGGCGAGGTGAGCTCTTCCCTGGGCAGGTGTGTGCTGGGTTCAGGATAGGAAAGTCAGGGGGCAGGGGGATCCTGGGGGCCAGGAGCCCTGGGGTCTGTCCCACCACTGACACGAAGCAGCCACTCAGCAATCACCCCCTTCTCAGGTCACCTATTTAGCACTCACTTGGGTAGGCACTTCCAGATGAGGAAACCGGGCTAAGCAAGGCGATTTCCCCAAGGTCACAAGGAACGAACGGGGCGAACCTAAACTCAGTTGAGGGCCCTCTAAAACCCAGGCTGCGCCTGTGCGAAGTGGGGTCATACAGAGGTCCATCAAAGGAAGCCAGGAATTAGTTAATTAACTTGAGGATGTTCCACATGCAGGAATTAATTATTCTCCATGTGGAGCACCTGTGGTAACAATGGCTCAGCACGTGCCCACTGCTTAATTCTTACAACAGCCCTGGGAAGTCGGTCTCATCACTGTGCCCTGTCCACAGGCAAGGACACGGAGACTCAGAGAGGTTGAGTGACTTGCAGGAGGTCACGCAGGCAGCCAGTGAACTGGCTAAGCAGCGCCTGCCCCTTTAGCCATGGTCCTACTTGGCCAGCTCCTCGATGACCAAGTTATCGAGGGACCCCTGAGGCGGGAGAGCTGGCCTACCAGCAGGGCGAGAGGAGCCAGACGGAAGCTCCCTGACACCGGCTGTCTCGGCAGGCAGAGACCAGCGTGCAGAAGGCCGCGGTGGACGCCAGCCGCACCACCCACCAGCTGGAGGAGACGGTCGACGCCTTCCAGACGCAGAAGCTGAAGGACCTGCAGGTGAGGCGGGCTGCCTTGCTTGTGCTGCGCGCACGCGTGTGTGTGTGTGTGTGTGTGTGCCTAGAGAGTGTGCGCATGTGTGAGTGTGTGTTAGCTTGTGCCCACTCAGCTCCCGGCACAGTTAATCCCGGCCTAATCCTGGCCTTGGGGCAGGAGGCCGGCTGCTCTGGGCAGCTGTCCCTCACAGCTGGCCTGCTCAGTAGCCAACATTCGGCAGCCCTGCCCCTCAACGCCCAGGCCCAGCTCCCCACCAGGAGAACTTGGCAGAGTGTGTCACCCCCAAACCCCTCTCTTTCCACACAAGGACCCACAGGACTTGACCTGACTTCCTCCTTTTCTCCATGAGGTTCTAAATGCCTTCCTTCTTCTGCCCGGATGCCACCCCAGTGCAGCCCAGGACCGTGGACCCAGAGCCCAGCTCTTACATCAGGGCCTCCGGGCATTGGGGTCTGAAGGACAAGCTGATCACACAGGCCCCTGCATTCACTTGACCCCCCTCTAGTCCATTTTCCAAACTAGCCTCGAGGATCTCACCAAAGGCAGCCCCACTCTGTCACCCCCAGGTTCAACACCCTCCTGGACTCCCCTGGTTCCAAGGAGAAAGGCCTAGATCCTCCCCAAGGCTGCCCCCCAGCCCCGCCCCCAAGCTTAATCATAGACATTCCATTCCAAGTTCAAGTGCACCCGGCCCCCTAGTACCACAGCTTTGCACAGGCTCCGCCCACTGCCAAGGCCTTTGACTCCCAGACCAGTCCAGCCCCATTCTATTTTTTATAATACATTTATATTGATTTCCAAAAGGAAGAGGGAGAGAAACATCACTGGTAAGAGAGAATCATTGATCGCCGGCCTCCTACACTCCCCCTACTGGGGATCGAGCCCACAACCCAGGCATGTGCCCTGACCAGGAATCAAATGTAACCCCCTGGTTGGTGTAACCACTGAACCATGCTGGCCAGGTTCCAGCCTCGTTCTTAATACGCTCTGGTCTGCTCCCTCTGGGGCAGTTAGCCCAGGGACAGATTAGTTATATCTTTAGTTTACTCCTTAATCTAACAAATGTTCAATACACATCTACTATGTGCCAGGTGCCATGCCTGAGGCTGGGGACACCACAGCCAGAAAAGCAAGGCCCTTGTCCTCATGGGGTTGACATCCTGCCCTGCCATAGGCCCCCATGCCGCATGCCATTCATTGTGGTGGAGAACTTGCTGCCCCCTGCCCGCCTCCCACACCACATGTCCACAGGGCAGACCCCTGCCTGGCTTGTGGCCTGCTGGGTCCCAGACGGTACTCAGTAAATGTTTGGGAAATGAGTAAAAATATGAGCCAACAGTGGTAATTAGTGCTCAAGCATGTACATTGCAGGCAGGACTTAAGCCACCAGCTGGCCATTATTAAGCACCTGATGTTTGCGGCCTGAAAACAGGGCTCTGTAAGGCGCCAGCGAGAGCACAAGATTCTCGGCCTCCCTCCCCGGTCAGGGGCCACCACAAGCTGCAGTTTAAAGTGCACATCCTTTAAACTTCCGGGGTCAAGTTGGTAAGGGACACTTAACCAAGCCACCCCCCGGAAGCCCTCCAATTTTTTTTTAAATCATTCTTTTATTATTATTATTATTGATTTTTTTACAGAGAGGAAGGGAGAGGAATAGAGAGTTAGAAACATCGATGAGAGAGAAACATCGACCAGCTGCCTCTTGCACACCTCCTACTGGGGATGTGCCCGCAACCAAGGTACATGCCCTTGACCGGAATTGAACCTGGGACCCTTCAGTCCGCAGGCCGATTGCTCTATCCACTGAGCCAAACCGGTTAGGGAACCCCTCCAAATTTTAAGAGATAAACATCCAGAACTTAAAATAATGATGACCACTGTGTTGGTTTTAGGTCACATTTCTAATAAAATGATCCGATTTCCTCTCCAGCCCCCCTAAAAGAATGTCAGTAACACTTTCATACAGGGGTTCCCATACCTGAGCATGCGTCCGAAGTCACCTGGGGGGCTCCTGACACCGCAGACCAGCAGCCTGGCGTGAGTTCCACTCCGTGGGGCTGGGTGGGCCAGAGAACTGGCATTTCTGACAAGCTCCCGGATGGGGCTGGTGCTGATGCCAGGAACAGACTGAGAGCTAATTGAATCCTCGTGGGGCTCTGTGAACAGGACTGCCCTGTCCCTACGGTGCAAAAAATAAACTGAGGCTGGAGAGGATGTCATTCCCTAGGCCCCGGGCAGGATGAGGCTGTGACCCGCCTCTTGATTCTCAGCTGCCATCACCAGCCTGCCTGCCAGGGACAGGAGGGGCGGAGGCAGGTAATCCCACCAGCCTTGGGACACGCTCCTCATCATCTCCCAGGCTGCCTTGCGGGCTTCCTCTGGCCTGCCTCTCCCAGGTGTTTCCCATGTTACCTAAAGTGGTGTGTTTCCAAACTTTAGGCTCCTTCCCTGACACCAAGCCTGTGTCCTGCTAGGGTCCTGCACACAGTAGGAGCTTGTGGTAGGCCCCAAGCACAAAGGAGCCTCTGCTGGGGCCTGACACACAGTAGGAGTCTCTGCTCAGGCCTGGCACACAGTAGGAGCTTGTAGTAGGCACTGCACACAGTAGGAGCCTCCACTGGGGCCAAACAGGCAGTAGGAACTCTAAAAGAGCTTACTGAGACAAGCTGAACCATTTGATCAAGAGAAGCCAATATCTAATTGTATTTAATGTGGTAACTCGTCAGGTTGTGCAGTCTCTGGGCTGAGCCATATCTGCCAGCAACACCCCTCCCTCTCCCGGAAGACCCCCTCACAGCCCGTGGGTGGCAAAGGCTGAAGGTTTGTGGCCATCAACCTTAAAAGCCGAGTGACTGAGCCCAGGGTGCAGAGCTGAGGAAAGGACGCCCCTCGGCAAGTCCTCACTGAGAAAGGGGCCTCAGCTTTTCTGGAATAAGCTCTCTGTGCACGGCGGCTTTTGAATGGGAATGCATTGTCTGCTCGAATAAATTAAAAAAGACATTGACCCAGGACCATCCCCATAAAGACGACTGATGCCTCCTCGCCCCCCAGGTTGTCCACATGCGAGGTGACCCAGGGCTCCCCTTTGGACAGTGTTGCTTATGCGATTTGCACTTCCCTCCCCACAGAAAATTTTTTCGGACTTCGTGACCATTGAGATGGTCTTCCACGCCAAAGCGGTGGAGGTGTATTCCAGCGCCTTCCAGACGCTGGAGAACTACGACCTGGAGGGGGATCTGCAGGTGGGTCCCAGGTACCCGGTTCTGGCTGGTGGCCTGGGCTGAATTCGATTTGGGTTCTGTCTTGAAAGAAGCGGTTTTTGTTGGCAACGTTTTGTCAATTTTATCGTTTGAAAGACTCATTCTGATGAACTGTTGTAAACACCTGCCCCTGGGTCTCAGTTTAAAAACAAGCAAATGAATCAACAATGACAACAAGCCTCTCCAGGCCGATGTGCGTGCTGTCTGGGTGTCACCAGGTGCTGGCTGCCCGTCTAAGCTGACGGAAATCGTGCCTCCTCTGTGGCCTATGACAACAGCCACTCCCCGGGGTGTACACAGCAGTCACTTGTCCTGGTCCCTGGTGGTCCTGGGGTTGGTGAGCGCCCCTGGGTGGTCCTCGCTTGGGCCTGTGGTCAGTTTTCAATCAGGCGTAGCGGGGCTGGATCCCTGTCCAAGGCTGGCTCGCTCAGGTCTGGCAGCTGATGGCTGTCATCTGGGTACAGGACAGGCCACGGGAGTTGCAGAGCTCAGCGCAAAATGAAAACGTGGGCCATGCTGCCCAACAGTTACTAAGAGTTTCCCGACGGCGACAGTGGGTTCCTTCTGAGCGCAGGGCCCTGGACAACGGCAGGAGCCGCACGCACACGAAGCCCTCCCTGTCTGGGTCCTGGGTGGGTCCCGGAGCCCAAAGACCTGCCCGTGGCCTCTCTGGGTGGCATGGGCCTCCCCACAGCATGGAGGCTGGTCCAGGAGCCAGTGTCCGTCCCCAGACCGAGCCAGGAGGAAACTCTCACCTTTGGTGACCGAACCTCAGAAGTAACTTAGTGTCACTTCTCCTGCATTCTGTTTAGAAGTGAGTCACTCAGGCCACATTCAGGGGGAGGAGGATTGCATTCCAGCTCCTAGTGGGAGACATGTCAACGAATTTGTAGAGGCTTTAAAACCACCACATGAGGTTAGAAGCAGATCGGACGGGCTCTCCTGCACTCACTCACCCCTGTGATACTCCTGCGGCGGGAGAGTGATCTCCGACATTCCTGTGCGAATCGGGACGTGTACTAGCCTCTGGGACTCAGTCTCCCCATCTGTAAAACGGGGTGAGAACGCCCATTTCAGGGGTTGTTGTAGGTGGCTAGAATACTGAACAGGAGGTTCCCCAGAGAGGTCGGTGCGGGTGGAGGCTCCGGCGGTGTTAGCTGTGCCCCACCATCTTCCCACTCTCACCCCCAATCTTTGTTTCCCAATTGGATCTAACCCACCTGAGTCTCTCCCTGGCAGGATTTCAGAGCCAAGATGCGCGGAGTTTCTGGGCACAAGGATGCCCGGCCCCGCAGGGACGCCGCTCCCTCTACAGCTGCTCCGTGGTCTCGCCCCTGCCAGGTGAGCATGGGAGTGGGGCGGGGGTGCTGTCAAACCTGTGACAAAGCGAAGTCTGAGAACATGGGTTTGAAAGGAGACGCTGAGAAGGAGGCGCTGCCAGCAAGTCTGACCTGGACTTGCCTGGAAAAGGAATCAATAAAGCAGGGAGCCCAGCGGTGCTGCCCCCACGTGTCCCGAGCGCCGCCTAGAGGCACCCTGCAGAAATGCACTTGGGAAGCCAGGGCTCTGGATGGTCCTCTGAGTATTAAGATGGGAAGCCGCCTCCTGCCAATAGGTTGGGGGCGAGGGGGACAGAGTGTGTCTCTTGGCTTTCGGAATCATTCTCCCCAAAGGCAGCGGAGGAAGTACGGCCCCAGCCAGGCCGACTGGGTCCAAACCACTGCTCCCAAGCTATGGGAGTTCCTTAACCTCTCTGTGCCGTAGATTCCTCACCTGCCGAGCGAGGCTGATAAAAATCCCCCCTTTATAGGGCTGTGGTGAGTGTTAGGTGAACAAATCTATGCAAAACACTTAGAAAATGCTCAATATGTGTGGCCGTCGTTGTCACTGATGGTCAATTATTATCATTGATGTTGCTGTGATGATGACGATGGTTATTAATTAGAGCCCCCAGAGCACCGTGCGCAGCCAGAGAAAAGAAGAGGAGGCGAGTGAGGACGACTTCGCTGAAGAGGACCTGGAGGAGGAACTCAGGGGCTGGGCTAGGGACTCCATCAATGGGACCAGAACTTCCAAGTCAGAAAACTAGGGGCCGGCCCTGGATGTTTGGGGGGCCTCTGCTGCGTGTCCCTGGCGAATCACATGTCCTCTGAGCTTGTTTCCTCATCTGCACAACAGGGACGGTATCACTCGCCTCCCAGGTGCCCTGGGGTTCAATGTGCCCAGCATGGTGCCTGGTGCATAGTAGGTGTTCAATAAACAATGGGTGCATCCTGACCTGACTCGTGCTGACTCTCATTTCCCACTCTGACCTGGGAACCCGAGTGTTTAAACTTGTGTGTGTGTGTTAGAGTCCAAATTCCCTCTTTTTGTAAGGACGCCGGCCCCACTGCCCTATCCAGTATAACCCCATCCTCACTAATTACAAGAGTCTATTTCCATTTTTGGAGGCCCTGGGAGTTAGGACGTCAACATGTAAGTTGATTCATCCCATAACACATGAACATGGTGTGCAGGGATGACCTTGGGACTGGGGGACACATCACAGAAGTCCAGGGAAGTGGAGGGGTGATGCAGGTCAAGGAAGGGGTGGGCATATGATTTTCTCTCAGCAAGAGGAGAATGCAACACTTTACTCATGAAATCATTGCAGGACTAACATCCTCACCACAGTGATTGTATTACCCGAAATCCAGCTCCCTGGCACCTCCTCAGGGAAGCCCACCCTGATTCCACCCAGAAGGGCATTCTAAAAATAACTAAAGCATTCTAAATTTTCTATCTAATAGGTAACTTATAAAATAACATATTCATAGATTATGTTATATATTTAGTCACATTTTGACTACATCTTTTATCTTATACTTGATACTATAAGCATATATATGTACACACACACACACACACACACGCACAAACACATATAAATGTACTTTTTAAAAACTTCAGTTGTGCCCCAACTCCACTGATGAATAAGTTGCTTATTCATCTGGTAGTCCTGGAGCCTGGTGGTGCCTGGCACATAGTAGGTGCTCATTAAATAAGTTGACTGCCTAAGGGACCTCTCCCCTTCCCCTCTGGCCCCAACATACCCAGAGAACAACTGTTCTAAGTACAGGGTTGGACAGTTGGCTAAGAGTTTTCCTTGTCACCATCTTCTTGGGGGTCACTTGCGAACTGGCAACAAAACTTCTAACTTCTCTCTTTTGGGGCCCCAGGTAAGAGGTGGGGTGGGCAGGGCCAGAAGCAGCATGACTCCAGGGTCTCCCTGAGCCACTGGATTGGGTGGCCTTCCTCCCTCTGCATCCCTTGCTTTCCCCTCCTCCCACTGAGCAAACTCCCCCCGTTGTTCCCCAAGCAACCTGTGCAGATGTCTGAGTAAGGGGGGCAAGAGAGAGCCACAGCCACTCCTCATGCCATGAAGAAGTGCCTTCAAGAGTAAGGCCCTGGTCCCAGGTATGGGAAGAGGTGAGAGGCCTCTTCAGAGCACCTGAGCATCTGGGGCTGAGGCAGGCCCTCAGCCGACAGGATCAGAACGAATCTGAGGGGAAAGCCATCACTCAGAGTTCTGGAGGTGTGAGTGCAGTTTTAAGCTTTGCTAGTCAGTAAAATGTTGCAACTTGCAAAAAACACCATTTGAAAGCTTGTTTAAATTCCTTTTCTATTTAGTTTGTGAACTTTGAACACTACATTTTAAATTAGTTCCTATAAACTTTAAACAGAAACCTTTGGTTCTTTTTCTTTAATGGGTAGGACCCTTCCCATGGGTATGCCTCCCATCAGGAAAATGAGGGATTGGGATCGGATTGGATGGTGATAAGCACAACTCCGCCATCTGCAAAGGGCATTTGCATATACTGCATTTGGTTCTTACAGGAGCCTTCTAGGATAGGTGATGACTTCCTTCCCATTTTACAGATGAGGAAACTGAGGACTAAACAATGATTTGGCAGAAAGTTATGGGGACGGTGGAACAGGACCTGGGCCCCTGCCCCGCCCCGCTCTGCAGGGTCCCGCTGTCCATCAGAGGGGTCCTTCCCCTTCCCTGGAGTTGCTTCGGAATCTAGCCCTGAGCTACTCCTGCTGGTGGGATCCTCCTAGCCCCAGGTTAAACGTCAGGCGTGATGTCCAAGCTGGGGCATCCGCCATCCAGGCTGTCCCTCCACACATGACTAAGAGGGACTGGGATCCTCAAAACTGGGTGGGAGAGCTGGGCACGTGGAGGTTGGCCCCACCCCACTGATCAGGGAGCATACCCAGCCCCCCTTACAGTGTGGGGGACCATCTGCCCTGGGCCCCTCAAGCCCAGCTGCTGTTTCAGGCTTCGGTACCAAGGACTCCTTCTCCAGGCCCTTCCCTCTCCTCACTTCACCTCCCAGACCTGGTTGGGCCAGAGCATTAGAACGAGGCTACTGACTTCTTATAATTAGAAAAAACAAAAGCCCAAGTATTTCACAAAATGCCCGTCGAGCCAAGTTGGAAAGGATCAATAAAGGCCTCCTGTTTGTATTAGGTAAGAGTTGTCATCAGTTCCCATTACAGCCCCTCAAACCCCCAAATGCAAGAGGTGAGCAGCTAGACTCAGAGGAAAAGCGGGATTAGGATTCCAGCTGGAAGGGGCTTGAGGCATCCTGGAGGCCCTGGCTTGAGGTCCAGTCCAGGTGGGACCACTCCATTCACTAGGACATACCCCAAGTGCCCAAACCCAGAGCTCCAGCCTCCTTATCATCCAGAGGAACCTCCTCTTCTTAGCATTTCTCATGACACACACATCTGGACAAGACCCGAACGCTCACCCTAAATAGTGACAACATCTATGTGACTCCAGAAGAAAAGTTATCTTCTGAAAAGCCTCTGATATCACCGAGAAGATTGCAAATTTCTCAGGGATATGTGAAACCAGCAACTAGACAGACGTTTTCTTCAATGACAATTTATTTCAGTTTCCGCCTTCTCACAATCCGAGGTGCAACGTACAGACATTTTTTTTCCTCCCAGCAAGAAGCAGTGCTTGACTTCAGCACAGTTCTGAGATCCTCAACCGTGAAACTCTCTCAACCTTAAAATACAGTTTGCAGAGCATCACCCGGTGGGACACACAGTGAAACTGCAACACGTAGAAGACCCGCGCCCTGAACGCCACCTTTAGCTCCTAAGGTGATGCCCAAGCACAAGCTTAGGTCTGCGACAAACTGGGTGAAAGAGCAAACGGAGACCGCGCGCGTGTAAGCCCCACCCGAGGCCCAGTGGGAGCCACGTGTATCACAAAGGCGGCCGATGTTCTAACCGCGTCAGGTTCTCAGGGGGTCATGTCTGATGTTTGAAATATTGGCATTTTCTAGTTCAAACGTTTGGCTTGTCTTTAAGTGTCCCTGGGAAGTGACAGCCCCGGGCTCACTCGTGATCTCACCATCTCCAGGACAGGACCCCACCCATCAGGCCTCGTGTGGCACCGCCATGCACATCCCATGTCCCGTTCTCCTTTCACAAGCACATGGCCCAGGGCCAAGGGGAGGACAGGCACAGCCCGCCCCCCCCCTCCCATCCTAGGATTGACCCACAGGGCAGACGGGAGACAGGCACAGCCCCCATCCTAGGACTGACCCACGGGGCAGAGGGGATTCACCAGCAGGAGTCCTCTTTATGGTTAAAGTGCAAACCCCAGTCAGGGGCAGCTCAGAGGAGCTCCAGGCTACAGGGCTCAGGTTTAACTGGCCTTGTCAACACCTGGAGTCTACAGGTCAAGCCAGGATTGGCTCCCCCTGTGGCAGATGCCCCGAGAGAGCTGTGTGTGTGTCAGTGATGGGAGGGGCAGGCCCAGACCATCCCACTTGCTCCTGAAAATGATGAGTTTCCCACAGCAACCAAGAACCAGGTACTGGGAACACTGCCCCACTTGAATCCTGGAGTTCCACTCACCAGCTGGCTGCCTCAGGGACACAGGCTGACACCAGGTTGGTTACCCAGGGAACAAAGGCTGGCCCCCGGGGGCTCCTTCCATCCCTCCTGAGGAGTACAAGACGCACAGGCCCAGGAAAGGCAAGGGCCACCCTGCCCAAGGGAGGCCCCAAGAGCCTGCCTTGTCTCAGCATTGGCTGTATTCACTGAGTGTGAGCAACCTGGAAATGATTCCTCCATCTGTTCCTGGAGAACCAACACGCTCCTACTCCAGGCCACATGGGTAAGGACGTGCCGGACGCATGGCCCGTGTGGCTGAGGAATCCTGTCCTGCTGGGGCTCAACACCACACACCAGTCCATTAGAGGTACTTCTAGCCATACAGCTTCCCTTCACCGGGAAAACATCTCTGAGAATCATGGAAAGGAATAAATGGTTTACAGAAAAGCAAGGTGAGACGGCCAAGCTGTGAGAGCAATGGTTCCGGAGAACCAAAGGCGGGGAAGGAGGGAGGAGGCGAGAATAGGCCTTGGAGCAGTTTCATCTACGGTTGAAGAAGGTGAGAGATTAGCCCTAGACCAGCGGTAGCCAATCGGTGGCCCATGAGGTCCGAAAGGTTGGCGACCGTTGGCTTAATGAAACCTTTGGACCTGCTGGGCGTGGTGGGCAGGACTTGCTGCACCCATCTCCTGAGTTTGGGGCTGGGCCTCCAACCCTCCTGCCCTTTCCCTGATTTCCAAGCCCCCCCATTTCTGGGCTAAGGACTCAGTCCCCTGCTGCATAGCTGTCTTAAGTTTTGGGTAATTTGGCAATAAAGCTGGCCTAACCATGGGTCTACCTGGCTACTCCCTAATGAAAAAGCCAAAGGTTAGGGCCCGGTAATGCCCAGGAGGCCCAGGCTTGCAGCTTGTGGCCCCAACCTCAGGTCACGAACGCCCAGGCCAGACAAAGCCCATGGCCGACACCTCTGTGGACTGAACGCTGTGCTTCTCACATCAGGAGGCTGGTGGTACATTAACCACATAAAACAGTCCGTGAAAGAGCGAACCTCCAGCTGCTGCCCTGTAGCCACATGAATCTGTGGTCTCCCTGGGCATGGAGAGGCGAGAGCAGGACCCACAGGTGGTGCCTCTGACTCCCACCCTGGCCTCTGTCCGACATCCCTGGGGCCCACGGGGTTAACCCAAACAC